GACTTATTTTGGTGGCGTGACTGCATCTAAGGAAGTCTAAGACCTGGATCCTAGTCCCAGTTCTGTGCCCCACTAACTTTGTCACTACTCTGGGTCTCCAGATTATGACTTTTAAGGGATCGTCTAGCTCTGTCACTTTGGGATTCTATATTTATGTCACTCACCTACTCAAAAATCTTTAGTCCACCTCCAATTCCTAATTAGAATAAAATCCCTTAGCATTTATTCCAGACCAGGTAGCTCCAATTTATATTTTTGACCTTCCTCTCCATTATACCTCCACTGGACACCCTGGTTCACCATGCCGCCCTAGTCACCAGGAAGACAGCAGCACCAGCTAACACGTAACTGAATGTTTAGAGTGCCAAGCACTGGGCTTAAGGGTGTCACATGCATTAGTTCATTTAATCTTTACAATACTTGTATAAAATCGTGCTATTAGTTAAGAAAACAAAGACCAAGAGGGATTATGAACCTTGCTCTCTCACAGCTGGTAAAATGATTCAAACCCAGGTCTGTCTGCCTCTCAAGAACATACTTTTAATCCCTATATATTATGGTTTCTTTATTCCTTAAGAATATAAATGGCCCCTCTTTTAATCAGGCCTTTGAAGCTTCAAATACCCTTTGCTACAATTTTATTTTTTTCCTAATACAACTCACTTTTAAAGTTCAGCTAGGGCGGCCAGATGGCGCAGTTGGTTAGAGTACATGCTCTTAACAACAAGGTTGCCAGTTTGACTCCCGCATGGGATGGTGGGCGCCCCTGCAACTAGATTGAAAACGGCGACTGGACTTGGAGCTGAGCTGCACCCTCCACAACTAAGACTGAAGGACAACAACTTAACTTGGAGCTGATGGGTCCTGGAAAAACACACTGTTCCCCTTCCCCAATTCCCCAACACTGTTCACTTCCCCAATTCCCCAATAAAATCTTAAAAGAAAATAAAAATTAAAAATAAAGTTCAGCTAAAGTGATAGCTCTTTACTACTTCAGTCCCAAATTTCCTATCCACTTCTAACCTATTCAAGCGCCTACTGTGAACCTCAATGACTTGCTCCTTGATGAAGTACACCTACATATATGCATCTTAATGTCCGAGGATTGTGTGGGACTAATCCTCCTCCAGAACAGCAGGACAAATTACATAAAACATCAGTATCTCCACAGAGCAAACCAACAAGGCAGGACTTGAGGGGTTTATGATCCCTGAGGGAGGCAAGCCCCCCTAGCCATTCCACCTTCACCCAGGGCCCTTCGTCTGGGGACACATGTCGACTTGCGGCAGGCCAGTCACTGGGAGACTGACCTCTGTGTGACAAAGAAATAGCAGCAGCAATCTTTTACTGAGTTTCTATGGAGCCACCATGCACAATTCTACACAATGAAGATGTGATAGTGTCTAGTTTTCACATATTCTAACAAGGGGGTAAAACCATTTTACAGAATAAAAAACCAAGGGCCAGAGATTCCAAAATCCATGCTCTTTTCACTACCTTCCTCTTTACCTCAGGAAAAAAAAAGTGATCCAAGAGTATAAAGTAATCCTAGTAACAATGTAAAGAGCTTTAAAGAGCTTTACTATTAGTGTAACATGCATCTGATCTTGAACCAACTCCTATGCTGGTGTTATCTTCACTTAAAGTATCCTTCTGAAGTTCAGACAGATCAACATTACCTAATAAATTGCCCAGAGGAGGACCTAATTTTGTTTTAATTTTATTTCCAGTGCTCTGTAGGCTACACTACACAACCGCAGTACAATGATGCTAACAATATATGATGTTACCATAATCTAAGTAGGAATGGTTTCAATCCTTACAAATATCACATCATGAAGAACTTTTAAAAATGAACGTCTTTTAAGTCAGATACTGCTCCCCAGGAACAATGAAGAGAGAAACCCACAAATGCCTTTTCTTTTTTTGTTTTTTTTGTTTAGCTATAAATAAATGGTTTTGGCAATGGGAGTTTCCCCAGTCTTTCTGGAAGAAATGTCAGAAATTAATCATACTGTTCAATGCTGTAACTTTTGCTTTCCTCCCCAAATACTGTCTTACTAATTCAATTCAACAAGTATTTGTTGAAAGCTAACAGACACAGAATTTAAAATTTTACTTTGAAAAGACTCTTACTTTTGCATTTTCTTTTTGTTCAGTCAACACAATCTTTGGGTAACAAACCAATAAATCTTTCATTAAGTGACTACAGTCATGGTAATTTAACATAAAGATGTGCTTTTTACTTTGCAAAGGGCTTTCTCAAGTCATATATTATTTGATAATTGTAGGTCACTTTATTAGGGCCTTTTGTCTATTGATCCTTTGGGTTTCATGAATTCTGTCTAACTGGATGCTTTATGTCAACCTCATTCAAAGAGTAAAAGGGAGATAAGGCTACAGAAATCCTCTTCTACCCAGAGCCCATCTCATATATGGCTTTGTAAGGAAACTGATCTAACACACATCTTCTTTTCTATGAATACCACGCAGTACTTTGCATTCCTCTCATGACCTCATAATGCTAGGTCTTGTATTGTAGGTACTTGTATACCAGTACATGCATACTCATTAAACACTAAGACAGACACAGACACACAGACACAGACACACGCGCGAGCGCGTGCGCGCATACACCCATGCTTGCTTTCATGTATTCTTTCCTATGATGTCAAAGAAGATGCTTTCCAGTATCTGCTGTCTTCTCTTGGTAAAACACCAAAATTTAAAAATTTAAAAACATCCAAACAGATAACCTACCAGGCATAGCAGTATATAGGATTAGGAATCAAAAAGGTCTTACAGCCCCAAAACTCGGTTTCCACAACTGTAAAAGACGGAATAACATCCCCTCTGCCTGTCTTCCTAGGAGGATAAAACGCAATATATAGGAAACAGCTCTGTACAGGGCCACAGGTTAACAACATAGTGCTTTCATGCCCTCATTTTCTACTTCAGTAACATGTTCTAAACCTATCTCCCTGGTTTCCTTCTACTTCTGCTAAAATTTATGTGCTTTTTCCTAAATGTGGTCTACACTTTTCATAAAAAATAATACACCTACATAGTTATAAAGGTTGAGCAGTACAAAACTTTACAATGAAAAACAACAGATCTTTTACTCCTCTCACCGTGCCCCCTGCTCACCAGGGGCAACCATTTTCACTTTTTAGCTGTTTGTTTTTCTTCATATTTCTAAACAAAATGCTTAAATTGTCCCTCCCCCCCCCCCGCCAGACTTTCTAGTGTGGGAGATGGTTACTGTAGCTGTGTGTCAGACCCTAACCTCAATACCCTCCATACACATACTCATCATGACTTTCAACATAATTTTGCTACAATTTTAGTTAAACCAATATTGTTCATAACTGAATCAGTGTATATCATTAGACTTCCCATTTTCTTTAATTTTCCATTTTTTCCTGAAGTTCCTAATTGCCTAATTTTTTTTTCACTCAGTATGCTACGTATCTATCGCCAATTCTTTCCCTATGAACCTGACAGAATTGTAAACCCCTCCCAAGTATTTTTTCCTAAAGATATAATTCCTAGTGCCCCCTTCCTCAGGCTCCTATCAGGATTAGCTGCTTTCTAAGTCTGCTGCACATCCGACTTCTTGGTGTTTCCTTCCCCGTCACCGTGGGAATTCTCTTCACCTTTCTCCTGTGTTGGGGTCCCTGTTTCCAGGGTTCCACATCTTCCTCTTTCATGATTTCATCCCTCATCCTACGGCAACACACCCTTCAGAAACTTCCTGAGAAAGTATATAAGGCAGGTAAATATTTTGAGACCCTGCATATCTCAAAATGGATTTATTTTACAACCTCACTTGAATGAAAAGTTTGACTGGGCATAAAGTTCTAGGTTAAAAATCATTTTGTAAACTTTTGAAGTCACTCCTCATTATCTTCTTGCTTCAATGAGGCGGAAAGTCCAGTGCTATTCAGTGGGAACTTATTATGTTTCCATTCTCCCATCCCTACTCCAGACCAAGAAGCTTTTAGGATTTTTCTTTATCTCCAGCATTGTGAAATTTTATAATGATTTATCAAAATCTTTTTATTACATTAAGCTGGTCCTTTACATTATGGCAACTCATATCCTTCAGTTCTGAAAATTTTTCTTGTGATATTTTTTTGAGAATTTCTTTTCTTTTTCTTTATTCTGTTTCTGAAAATCATACATAGTTGGGTATTGAGCCTCCTATTGTCTTGCTCTTTATCTACTTTACTGTCTTTTGTTTTACTACTTGGCCTACTTCAATTTTATTTTCTAACTTTTCTGATTTAAAAAAATGTCTGATTATATTTTAAATTTCAAGAGGTCTTATTTTCTTTCTGGGGTTTTTTGGGGTTTTTTTCCATGGCATCCTACTCTTTTTTAAAACCACCACAATGAAACCTGGGAAAGAAGAGGCAGAGAACGAAGGAATGAGAGGAAGACTAAAAAGAAGAACAGGGAAGGGGTGAGGGTGAAGCTGAAGAGTGCAGAGTCTGCTGGGGGTCAGGGGGCAAATTACTTTCAAGTTTGTGTTGGTTCAGTCTAATTTATTTTACCAGTTATACAAGGTCATACGTGTCAATTTAAAAGTTTCTCTTAGGACACCTATATTTTTGGATGCAAAATCTCTGAAAATGTTGGATTTTTTGTTTCTTTTTTTGAAGTTTTCTTCTGTGATTTGTTTCTGTTTCCTCTGATTTCTTTTGTTTTGGGCTCTGTATTTTATGTGAAAAGACTTTCTTTAAAGACCAGTGATCTCTGGCTGATGGTTAATATTACAAAAGAAAGAGTAAAAACAACTAATTAATTAGTAACAGTAACCTAGATTTTTTGATTCTCAGTTCAAAGTTCATTGTAATCATATTGCGGTACCCTTTTGTCTCCCAAATTGTGAAGAGCCAAATGACTTATTTACAGCATAAGAAATGTATAGAATATCCCCAAAGTCTGCAAAATATATTAATAATATGTACATATAATATATAATAGTTTGTCTTCAACCTGGAAACAGAAAAAATTATGCAAAAATCAACACATAAACTGATTTATGAAGACTTTCAAAAATCTCATAGTGCCACAATTCTTCCATCCTTAAAATGCCCCCAAACTGCTCATATAACAATAAATTCTGGTTTGCCAATAATTTATTTAACAAATCTTTTATGATACAAAGACAGTCAGTGAAATTATAACATTTCCTACAAAACCACTGTGCAGATTTTTAAGTCAAACCTGAAAAACTCAGAAAGCTCCCAGAAACCACTCTATTACCTGAGTGTCTATAACCCAGTTGCTTTATTTTCAAGTTCAAAGAGGTGGACAACGCATTTATAGGACAAAAATTCAAGTTTTCCCAATCCTTAATATCCTTAAAAAATTATTCAAGTAAAAAGGAAAAGCCATTTAGAAAGGCTCAAAAATGAATCCATCCAGCAATAAAGTTTAAAGAAAACCCTTTCCAAAATGGAATTTAGGGTGAGTCAACAGGTCCGTGAAAAACTCAAATATCCACTCAGGTGGAAGATAGTTCTTTCATTAAAGTGGAGCACTTGTCCTTTTGTTAATTGCTTTTCTGCTAATAATAATAATTAAAAAAAATACACCTCCACTGAAATAAATCATTGTATAAAAACACAACTAATTTATAAATATAACAATTAGTATTAGTCTTATGTTAAAATGTACTATGAAACAATTTCACCACAATCACCAAAATCTTATGCTTCCTCTAATATCAGTCATATACCATATAAAGTTAAATGTGCCGTCTTGCCAAAGCCCAAAGTAATTGAATCTAAAAATATACTTTTTTCTCATTCTGAACTAGTTAGATTGGTATTTAACCCAAACAGTCATCAAATGTTGCATTAAATATGCCAGGACGAAAAGGTTACTTAAATACAAACTCTCCACATGCATCACATAGAAACTGCCCCAGCCACAGAAGACTGCATTCTTGGATGCAAATGCATCCAAGAATGTCCCCTTTTCCCCAACATGCACGCGTGCGCGCGCGCGCGCGCGCGCGCGCACACACACACACACACACACACACACACACACAGCAATACAATGAATGTGAGAAGAGAATTGATACCTGGAAGAAATCTTAGGAGTTTATACAGTCCGATGAAAACAAGATAAACTGGAAAGACATCTGATATTAAGCAAGTATCAGCAGGCAAGGGGTTGGGGGACTTTATTTTTCTTTAAATTACTGTATCTACTTAGTTTCTACTTCAGGTTTAGACTGGGTCACTGATAAGAGATTCTAACATGAAAAAAATACATTTAATGACATCTAAACTTGGTATTAGGACAAAAATGTAGAAATCTATTAACAAAAGTTCTTATTAAAAGAACTGTCTTTCTACTTACTACTGATCAGCTTGATTAGCCATTTCCAAAAAATTCAACAGAAATTTTCTCTTTTCTATTTTCACAAGATGGAACTCTACTGGAGGAAAAAATTAAAGGGGTTCAGCCTTCCAAAAGTAAAATCTACTGATTTAACACCAATTTTCTATTAAAATGAAATGTTTAAGATTCCCATATTTGCTGAACTAAAAATTCTCAAGCAAACTGCAAATTTGAACAGGTTACATTCTCCAACATACATGAAACACTTTTTTTGCCCTTTAAATAAAAGGGAAATGTGTACAATTGTTTTTTTCAGAATCCAACAGAAAAGGTTTCCCACTTGTAATAGCAATTACAAACATTGCTAACATAATTTGCAATTTCAAAATGAATTCTAAATTTTGAAACAGTTTAGAATCAAATTTTCTAGTACTAAATGTAAAGAGCAAGCAAGTTTTGGGGAAGAACTCAGAATCTTACATGTAAATTTTATATATTACTTATCACTTAAAAAAGTTTAAATAGAACACATTTGAGGTTAAAAATCAAATTGATATCTCAAACCTAAAATCATAAAGCTGCCCTTTATTTTAAAAGGGGCAGGAAGTTTTCTAATATCGTGACGGAAAACCAAAGCATATCTGCCTATTTTATAAATACCCACGTCCTTTTTCTTGGACTAAAAAGTCCACTTTCACCCTCATCCCTGGTGTCTTCCATCTCACTGAACATCACTGTCTCATTCAGATTACAACATTTAGCCAAAGGCAGAGACCACGTTAAGTCCCCTGAAGGCTTTCAAAACATTAAAACCAGTATAAAAGTAGAGGAAATACTCTCATGCCTGAAGCTGCTGAGAAATCCTCTCCTTTTAGAAAAATAAACCTCTTGCTCAAAAGATAGACGCTTTTAAGAACAAAACATCACTACTACAAATACACAGCATTCTCAATAATTCTATAAATAACGAAATCCTATAGATTTTGCTAGTACTTTGGAAAAAACAAAACTATTAAGGAAAGAACTGTATCCCAAAGGATTTTTTCCTGAAAGAGAATAGCAATAATAGAGACACAGATAAATTAGAATTTCTCCTTTTCTTGTCCAAATGTGAATTCCTTAACACTAACTAAAAGAATGCTTTTAAAAATTAGCTCCTATCTTATTAGTTGATTCCATTTAACCACAAGAGAACATTTAATCCCTATTTTAAAAATGAACTAGTTAAGTGTACATTTTGCTATAAAAGAGAAATCTAACTCATTTCAAGTATTCTCAACACGCACATACACAAACGCATGGGTAAAAATACTGCAACAGAATCACTTTCTAACGCACACATTTCTTTAAATTTCTGTGAACCATAGCACAAAAAGTAGCTCGGCTTTTCAAAAATTGTCTAATATTTGACTGTACTTTTGCATCATGGTTCACTGCAAAATTCTAAAATTAATGTTGAAGTGTCCACATTATTCACTGTCTTGAGACTTCTCTCAAGAGAATACGACATAAAACATTTGGTTTCCTAAATGACAGTGTGGAAACTTGCAGTATAGTTACACTTTGGCACACATAAACAAAATTTTAAAACTCTGTTAATTCATTACTGTATTTTAATATTCCCTGTTAAAAGAAATCAATTGTATATGAAGCCCACACAACTGGAAAGAACCCAGAAAAGCAACAAGACAACGATGACTTTTTAAAATGCTGACGCTTTTCACACCCAGGTTCAGTCATGCCAGCTGGAGAGAGGTGTTGGATATGGCTTTATTCATTTTAAATCTGAGAACTGTAGTCATTTCCATGACATTACAAAAATTGGAACCAAGAGTAATTTATCTTCATGGTCCTGATTCTTCTGATTCAAAAGCACTTCTTAAATAATTTCTGCAAACTTAGAAGGCTTTTTGGATGGGTCATTTGTTTGCTATTGCTTAGAGTTAATTATTTTATTCCCGATTTCCTAGTGAACAGGAATACAAAGAGATAAAAAGGAAGCACATTTCTCTTTCTCTCTCTCTCTCTCTCTCTCTCTCTCTCTCTCTCTCTCTGACCCACTATCTAAACCACTTTAGACATGGCAGCCATTAAGGGGGCCTTTGCTCCTAACTGTGTAAGGGTCCTTAGCTATGGTCTGACTTGCACAAGAAGTACACATGGCCCCCGAGAGGCGTTTCAGTCCCCTTTGGAAGACGCTGTTGGAGAGACTATAAATGACACAGTTGCAGAAGCTGTTACTAATAGCAAGCCAGGTGGTCAAGAAGGACGCGAAGCGGTTGCTGTGGCCAGTGGAGCTCTCCAACAAGAAGTAGATGATGTAAGGCAACCAGAGGATGTAAAACACGCTAGTGATCCGGAACAGGACCATGGCGTAGCGCTTGTCGGGACAGGCCTGCACCTCCCCAGTCTCCTCACTCTGGCTGTTGAACCGGGCTTGCCTTTCGCTGATTTCCTTTGTGTGCTGTTGACAGATGCGGAAGATGTTGAAGTAGGTGAAGCAGACAATGAGGGCTGCGGGGGCATATGACATCATGACGATGAACAGGGTGAAGTAGGGGTCGGTGTGCCAGGCCTCCGCACACCACCGAAACACGTCTCCATGATATCCAGGTTTGCCCCAGTGGAAAAAGGCAGGCAGGAAGACCAGGGCGGAATACAGCCAAATCAGGAAAATACACAGGCGTAGTCTCCAGGGTGTGACCAGGGTGTTATAGGTTAACGGTTTGGTGATGGCAATGTATCTATCGATGCTGATACAGGCCAGGGAGGTCATGGAGACGCTCTTCAGGACTGACACGACAAAGCCAAACACCTGGCATGTCCAGGACTCCTCCACCGGAAGCGGGTACTGGAGGAGTGATAGAGAAGGGACCAGGCAGCTGACCCCAACCAAGAGGTCGGCATACGCCATAGTCTGGATAAAATAACTTGTAGTGTGGTGGTTTAGCAAAGGTGCACAGTGAAACACAAAAATCACAACAATGTTGCCAGTAATAATCAATACAGTCAGAAAGACAATAACCAACACTTCCAAAAGGCAAAAATGAACAGTTTCCAAATAGCCAAATGCCAAGAGGCAAAAAGGGTGGCTGCTCTGATTACCATCCAAGGTGGAGTTCATCTTGAGCTCGGGAGTGATCTCTCACTTCATGCTGCCGCGTGGCTGCTGCCAACAGTTCAAAGGAGCAGCTGCTGACATTGCGGTCAGCTCTGTGTGTTTGTAATAGCGCCCAGACTCGCAAGGCTGCTGCCCTGGTGCATTGCCTGCAGCGCAATCCCCCTTTACTTCCTTGGAAGAGGGAGAGTCAGCAGCAGTTGGATGGCCAGTCCCAGACACGGCCATAGTGTCAAGTTTACCATACACATAGCGCCAGGGGAGCAAGGCAAAATCTGGGCACAGTGTCTTCAGGCCAGTAAAGGGTAGGGGTAGGGGTAGGGGTAGAGGAGGAGGGTTAGGAGCTTCAGCAGTAATGAGTCTCCTCTGAACAGCTGACAGAAGAAAAGGAGAGAGCATTTTATGTTCTGCAGCCCAATACAAGACTCAAAGAACCTGGCTAGCTCAGGATGCTATCACCCCTCCGACTGTATCCCACCTCACTCAGCAGAACTATTCCTGGCCACCCTCAGTAGCCCCCTCCCCCCCACCATAACTAACTGGTCCTTAATCTACAGAGGAGGCGCAGTACCAGCAAGCTTTTATGATCAACATAAAACAAAATCAATCAGTCAGGTCAACAGACTCCCCTTTTCCTTTCACTGGAGCCTTTTGGGTAGAAAAGGAATCTGCTTATAGCATTTCTGAAAACATTTTGCCTTAATTACCACAATAAAATTAGCTAAAATAACTTATTTTCTTCATCAATTCCCATGTAACATTTTGCCTCTTTGAAAACATTTCAACATAATTTGTCTGTCTAGCTAAATTTCAGAGTGTTACCTGTAATTCTGCATGCTGCAATCCAAACAAAAGCCACAAACCATCCTTAACAGAAAGCCTTGCAAAGCAGGAATGTGCCTCAGCCCCGTTTACTGCAGAACTGAGACACAGAGGGAGGGGATAAAGGAGTAGGAGGGGAAATAGGGAGACAAGGGGGCTTGGGAAAAGGAAGAGGCGGGGGAGGGGAAAGAAAAAGCCTGCGAGCGCACACACTCCGGCACCCTTAGCAGCTCATTAGAATTCATCACAGAGAGGCACTCCCCGATTTCCAGACTGCACGGTGGGGGAATAACTTCAAATGCCTGCAGTGCAGTGTTTGAAAGCTGTTTCCTCGTCTGTCTGGAATCCCCCTTTTAAGAATTCAGGCTGCTGGTAAGGAGAAGGGGTAGTAACTGGGACAGAGTACCAGCCAGGAATTAGACTGAAACACACTGCCAGAGGGGTAATGGTGAAAGGAAATTCCTATTTTCTTGTAGCATTTTCCCAAGGAACAAAGAGCTATGTTAACAATGCATGGCAACTGAGGAATCGTAATGCATCCGCACAAGAAGTTCTAGCTAGAAGGCTAAATATTCAGCATTCATTTTCTCTCATGATCCACTGGATATTGGCCAATATTAAGAAAAAAGACTAAAATAACAAAGCAAACTTAAAACTCAGTTTTTCAAGAGAAATATATAGAAAATCTCACCCATTCTGAATACTGCAGAAACAGTTCATGTATAAAAAAGAGGAATTACATTGTTCCTGTATTTGACACTATCCTATAGTTTGAGATGCCATTTCTTGTTTCTAGTTTGCTAAGAAGAAAACATATAAACAAAAAATGGAAAAGTAAAGGTACCCATTTCCACCAGGCTTGAAAAATGACAAGAAGTTTCATAGTACAACCTTCACATCTCAGAATACACAATCCTGTTCGTGCCTACTTACAACAACGCAAACTGGGACAATACTGTGGCTCTTCTGGTAATGTCGTAAATGATGACAATTTTCAGCTAATTAGAAAATGTGTATTTTTAGTTATCTTTTCCTTCTAGGTGTCTTTAGACTCTCAAGTCATCCTTCTAAATAAAATTCCACCGATCCAGCAGAGTAAAAGAAAATAAACAAACGCTGGTATTTGTAAGCATTCCAGAATGTCTGTCCACCTCGGTGGAGATACATGTTATGTGATCCAACTTTCATTTTTTTATTTGCTTCATACACATGCTTTCTCATTGCAGCCAAATGGCCACCCATAATCAGAATTCAATTAATTGCACTTTAAGATGTGAAGCACTGTGCAAAGGCAAGAAACCCAAAAACGTATTGAGCATAAGTTCGATAGCCATATCTGACAGGTATCCTGGGAAACAGCAAAATGTGGCATAGTGAAAAGTCCCATGACACTGAACACCCGTCTGATTCAAATTCTTGCTCTAACATTACTTAGCCTCTCTTAGTCCCAGTTTCACCATCTATAAATTGAGGGTCATACTCCCTACATACATCATGGGGTTATTAAGAAATAGAGGAGACTGTATACAAAAGTCTTAGTGATACTTAGTACACACGGAGGTAGATACAACTTCACTCACCTTCTTCTCATACAATTAAAATAGCCTGTTTTCCTACCCATCATGTTGTACTGCTTGAGGCTGGGCTTCTCTGAATCCTTAAGTGCCCTCTCTTACTTGTGACTGCCCACTTCTAAGGCACACAACAGTTATTTGGATATTTTACTGTCATGCATTCCTCAAATACACTGAGGCTATCCCAGTGAAGGTGCCTGGAAAGAGGGAATGATGATATGGCATCAATCATTCCCTCTATACAAATCATTACTCTGCCTGTGTCTCTAGCACTGACTTCATTCATGAGTTCTCCTTTCCATCTACAATTTGCCTGCCGGTCACACATCTTCCACCTGGATGTCCCGTAGAGACTTCAACCACAGCACCCCAAATTAAATACATTTTCCCCACCAAATAAGCCTCTCTTGTTTTTACTAACATTTTCCCAGGCACTCAGGAATGAAACTTAGGAATCATCTTGACCACTCCCTTCCTCAATGTACTGTTCTTAGTCACCAAGTCCTGGGAATCTATTTCTACAACAGCTTTCAAATTCACCTCCTCTTTCAGTTTTTAATACCTTATTTTAGGCCATCATTAAGTACCGGCTAGGCTTATTCATTTTCTAATGCACTTGTGCCTGACTAAATATCAGCAGCACATACTGTATTATGGTTCTCCATTGTGCAAGGAGAGTCCACAGCTCCCTATTGCCTTTCCAATCTGATATCATTATTCCACATCCCCCCAAACACCTTGTCCTCCAGCCAAACCAGGTGAGACACTTAAATAAAACAGAGTAACTATTTCTGTATATACATGACTGGAAGGAAATACATTAAAATTCAACTGCTTTTCACTAAACAGTGGGATTACAAGTGATTTTTAAATTTTTCTTCTTTATGGCTTTCTGTATTTTATGAATTTGCCAAATTCTATGTACTATTTCTATATATTATTTAATCAAGTATTTAAAAAAACAGCCAAAATAATATTTAAAAAATGTCCCTTTGGGTAAAGCTAAACAAAAAAACAAACAAACAAAAAAATGGCCACAGATGTTCTCCCAGAGCCCCACTGAATGGATGATGTCAGGTTAAGTCACCTACTTAATGGGGCTTAGCTCCACTTGTCCTTATGCCATAACAGCAGCATTTCTTCATATAGTCATTGGTACTCAATTTAACTCAAAATGAACCCTCAGAGCCTCAGTTAAAAATTCTTAGAGAATGAGAATGTAACTGGATAAAACGTGAAATTGTCAACATTTAACCATTTCGTTTCTGGTTAAATACTTTCTGATCTACAAACATGGCAACTTTTACATATATGGTTCAACCCAATACTAACAAAATATTAAAATAACACAATGACAGAACTAAAAAGGAAATAAGGCAGAAAGAGAAACATGAAATAAAAAATGGAGAAGACTTCAAATTATATTTATGTGTCTCCCTATTTGGTGGCTTAAATATATTATACATGAGAAAGGATCAATTTCAGTTCTTCAAATTCACAGGATTCGCTTCTGAGCATTCTCTGTCACTTATTATTTAGTAAAAGTGAGCTTTAAGCGTCGATTTAATTAGCATTATTTTAGTGCGGCTGATGGGAATGTATTTATAGCAACATCATTCCAAAATCAATTTGAGGTTCTTTGACTCATCTTTTCTTCTTCCCTCTCCCTCATCTGCCACATTCATTCACTCACCAAGTGACAAGGGTTCTACCTCTGAAATTTCTTTCAAATAGTATCTCTCTATCCCTTCTGCCACTACTCCAATCCAAGTCACAATCACCTCTTGTCTGAATTTCTAACAGGTTTCCATGCGATTAATCTTACTGCATTCTAACTCCAGTAACCAGAATGATCCTTCTAAAACTAATCATGATAATACAAATAATAACAATAACCAAGCAGTCATTCATACCTACAATGTGCATTAACTAAGTTAATTCTAACCACTCTACAAATAAGGTTCCTTTATCCCATTTTACAGATAAGGAAACAAATCTAATGTTAAATCACCCAATGTCAATGGCTTGACTACAGTAGAACTGCCTTTAGATGAGCACTCTAAACCACTTTCCATACTGCCTTCCAAACCTGAATACATGATTTGCCTGCTTAAAATGCACCAATGACTTTCTGTTGCCTGAAATCTTACCTATACCTAAGTTTCCTGCGGTCTGGCCCCGCCTGCTTGCTCTGGCCTTACCTCCTTCCACACACTATGAAATCACCAAGCTCTCTCTCACCCTCGAGTACATGCTTTTCCCTCCGACTTAGCACCACACACACCATGAAGTGCACTATCCTACGCCAACAATCCCCTTCTTCCTGGACAATTTCTGAACAATACACCTTTTTGAACCCTTTGATGAGAAGTCCTTCTTGTCATTTGCCACACAGCAATATGTATTTACTCTTCTACAGCTCTTATGAAACTTCATTGTAATTGGTTACTTAATTGCCTATTCCCCTCATTAGACTGCAGGCTGCCCCAAACCAGGCAGGGAACAGGTACATTTTATTTGTGGGCATATCCATGAGACCTAGCACAGCACTGGCACAAACCTTACTTTCAAAGGTATTTTTGATCAACTAAATAACAAACACCTAATAAAGCAACAAGCAATTCTGCTTTTAGATGGAAAGATCTTTCAAGCAAAACCATAGTATAACTTTAATTCACCTATAATTAGTAGGTTGAAGCACATGAAATTGCCTATTGTGGATCAAAAATTGTCAAATACCAGCAATTTTAATATGATCAAACCTAATATATTTTCAGTCTTCTAATTCAGGAAAACTTTAGAACTCCCTGAACAGGTACAGAAACTCACTAGTGGGGACATGACTTTACAGATAGAATATTGGGACTAAAAATTATTTTCACAAATAACAATTTGAAGGAACCTTGTCCACTTGGGGCTGCTATATCAAAAATACCATAGACTGAATGCTTTATGGACAACAGAAACTTATTTCTCACAGTTCTGGAGTCTGGGAAGTCCAAGATCAAGGTACTGGCAGATTCAGTGGCTAGGTGAGGACCCACAGCCATCTTTCACTGTGTCCTTACATGGTGAAAGGGGCAAGGGAGCTCCCTGGGATCTTTTTTATAAGGATACTAATCTCATGAGGGCTCAGCCCTCTGGACCTAACCTAAGGCCACATCTACAAATACCATCATATTGGGGGGTTAAGATTGCAGCATATGAATTTGGGGTGAGATACACAAACATTCAATCTTTAGCAACTGCTATATGGAAGCCGACAATATAGTTCTAAAAGTCCACTCACAGCCTATTTTCCTATAGAATCCGACAGCAAGAGTCCTCGATTGTAAAAAGCAGAATCACGGGCTATTTTAGGGGGCAGGACTCAGACATACTATCTAGTTTTCCAGAATACTAAAGCTTAAGGGAACCTCATTTTAGAGAAGAGGCCATAAATACTGACAGGTGCAGAACCTCATCTGAAGCCCCAGAAGCTAGTGGCAGACATGAAGCTAGCACTCAGGCTCCCTAACTAACTACATGCCCAGCACTCTTTTTGCTAAA